TATAACCTTGATAGTAGCCACAATGACAGTGACTATCAGAACAGCGAGAGGCTGTAGTTTGCCAAGCCCTTTGGGACACAGGGAGGCTTGCATTCACTCTTTCCCTTGTTCTTGTAAAATAGGTGTTACTATTCTACAAATGTCACCTAGGAGATAAAGAGAAAACACCTAGTGGAAAGCTGATCTCAGCTTCGGGTGGTGTCCAAGTCTGGGTTCTGTGGGGCTTGTGGTGTCCTATCAGCCTGCCAACAGCTGCTGGCCAGCTGTGGCTTGTCCTCACCAAGAGAGGATCAGGAACAGAGAAGCCCTTTGGCCTTGGACTTCACAGGTTGGCAACTGGTTAAACTCGGAGGCAACACTGGAACATGCTATTCTCTGTGAGATTCCTCTGCTGTTCCAGGTTCTGACTAACAAGAGTTTCCCAAGCTTCTCTTATGCTAATTTCAAGCCCTAAAGCAGCTGCTGTTCCTGCCAAAAGCCCACTCTGTCCTGGGGAAAGCCCCGAATTACAAATAGGTGGCTATTAACAGCGACTGTTGTAACAGAGGAGACCAGCCCCCGCTGTGCACTCTTGGCCTTGAATGTTGTTACTTTAGTTGGAGAGTCTGACCCTGGCTGATGTAATCGCCCCATTTTATCTCCATTATCTCAGATGTACCTGCCGTGTAAGAAAACACAGGGTGATGGGTGGTCAGGCCTCAGTGGACAAACTTTGCTGCTGGCCGTCTCAGGGGCTGAGGTCGGCAAGCAAAAGGCTCTTTCCCAAGACTCGGCTTGCCTCTTCTTTAAATTAGTCACTGTACTATCATTATGAAAAGTCGGTTATACATTATTTTATCTGATTCTGTAGCCTTATCTCAAGTTCCTTGCCTCCAAGGAAAGTAACAGTGCTTGGCTTTGAACTCTGCAACCAAAGTCAATGGTTGAAGGATCTTCGGTCAACAGGTCACCTGAACAGGTGTCTTAACTCCTAAGTTTCTGCGTGCTGGTTAGTTTTGTGCCCTCTCTGGGTTGATAACCCAGAGTCCTTTTAGAAGAGAGAAACTCAGTTGAGAAAATGCCTTCACCAGATTGGCCTGGTACACTTTCTTGATTGAGGATGTGGGAGGGCCTGAGTTCTATAAGGAAGCAGGCTGAGCAAACCATGGAGAGCAAGCCAGTAAGCAGCACTCCTCCATGGGCTCTGCATCGGCTCCTGCCTCCAGGTTCCTGCCCTGCTTGAGTGCCTGTCCTGACTTCCATCAGTGATGGACTGTTCCCGGGAGGTGTAAACTGAAATAAGCCCTTTCCTCCCTAAGTTGTTTATTATCGTGCTGTTCATCACAGTAATAGAAGCCCTAACTAAGACGCTCTGTATCCTCATCTCAGCATTGGCTTCTAGCGCCTGTCCTGTAGAGTCCCTTGGGAAATACCCAGTTCCCTACACAGTGTCCGGCATGTAGCTTGTCATTCAATCACCTCACGGTGTGCACTGAGAATTCGCCACTGACAGCTGCAAAAGCTGGAGACCAGAAAACAAAATGCTGGGACGTGGAGACTTGGCCAGGGACACTCGCTCCCAGCTGTCTTACCCCAAACACACGTGCAAACGGCTATTGTCCTGTTTCCTTGGAAGGCTTCCTACATGCTGGACAGTATGTCTCCCATGGGACTCAATCCTTACTGGAACTCTACTGTTGGATGGGGAAAGAGCTGGAAGGAGTGAGGAACGAGGCAGGCCAGGATCCTGTCTGGAGATGGGTTCCGGCTAGAGACCCTGCACCTGCAGACCCACCCATGTGCCTGCAAACCCAGACAGCAGAAAGAGCTATTAAGGATGCCTTTCCAGTCCTTAAATAAGCACACTTGCCGCTTTGCTGCGGCTGCCTCTGCTGTCAGAGCTAATTTTGGAAACACTGTCACAGTGAAACATTTCTGTTCCAACTTGAAAGGGCTCAAGACTGCTCCTCCGTGTGTGCACATTTGTGAATGATAATGGTGCACCTGGCCCCAAAAGGCTCCAAGCCCTGAATCCCAGAGATCCCCAGATTCCTGGCTTCTCTCCCAAGACTTGGTGTCCCAGGAGCCTCTTCTGCCCAGTGCAAGTCACGTGGTTACTTTGCTCTGCTGGGAGACATTGAAGCCTCACCCGCCTTTCCACTGAGCCTCCTCTGCAGGCCAACAAGTACTCTCTCCTCAAACACCCTTGTCTTTTTTTCCAGACAGGGTGTCACTATGTAGCCCTGGCCAGCCTGGAACTCGCTATGTAGACCAGGATGTCTTTGAACTCATAGAGCTCTCCCGGCCTCTGTCTCCAGAGTGCTGAGATTAAATGTGTGCATGACCATGCCTGGCCTTCCCTTATTTTTGTTTGGTATGCTTCAGCCTTTGGGGATGTTTTTCTGTGAGCTTGCTTGATCCCCAACACACAGCAGTCCCCATTGAACTAGTAAGCTCCTTGCTCAGACAGAAATGATGCCCCCTGGTTGATATGAGAGGTCAGTCATCACTTCCTGTCCCAGATGGGTCCCCAGCACCCCGCAGGGCTGCCCTTCATGAGGCTACCCACCTTTGAGTGACCGTCATGTTTCACTGAGGCAGAAAGGACCTCCAATTCATGGGGTCTACTCTGCAAAAGGATCTTCTGATGTCATCAGGGAGAGTGTGGAGCCAGAGCCTGTCCCCAGTTGGGCTAGGATGATCTTTAGACTTCATCTATCAAAGGACCATGATTAGAGCTCAGATCCCTTTCTGTCCTAATGGGGCCTGGGGTGACTGTCCTCTCCCCCAAGTCCAGGTACTCAAGGTTGGACCTGGAAGACAGGAACCTGGAGCCCTTTTCCTCTGCCCCGACCATATCCTGATCATCCCTGTCCCCAAGAAGGGAGGGGGTGACTTTTCGACAAAGGTTGCTGGTGTAGGCCCGGCAGACATCGGGCTGCTCCTGGGTTCAGACTTCATCCTTTGGCGGCATCATCATCATCATCATCATCATCATCATCATCATCATCGTCTTTTAGAGACCTTAACGTGCCATCAGCCCTCCAGTGAAAGCTGCCCCCTTTCGCATTTGCAGCCCAAGAAAAGCAAACAGGATCCTGAAATGCAAGCTCTACCATAGATTTACCTTAGCCTGGACCCTTTCATCTGCAGACCAGAACCTTAATACCCATTGTATAATTGGTACCCACTGATCAGACTGTCATTCACTGGGGAGAAGGCTCTTTCGGTGTATTAAAAATTCCAGCTGTTAGTTCAGCAGCATATATATTATGTACACATATGTACATGTAAAGCCTGAGGGTAACTTCTTTGTATCAGGTGTTACTCCTCAGGATCTAAATACCTTGTTCTCTCTCTCTCTCTCTCTCTCTCTCTCTCTCTCTCTCTCTCTCTCTGTGTGTGTGTGTGTGTGTGTGTGTGTGTTTGGTTTGGTTTTTCAAGACATGGTTTCTCTGTGTAATGGTCCTGGCTGTCCTGGAGCTCACTTTGTAGACCAGGCTGGCCTCTGCTTCCCGAGTGCTAGGATTAAAGTCGTGTGCCACTCTACCTGGCTCAAACCCAGATATTAATGCTTGCAAAGCAAGCACTTGACTGACTGAGCCATCTCTTTATTTCTTGGCCCTTGCCTGTATATTTTTTTAAATTTTATTTTATGTATACAGGTGTTATTGCCTACATATGTGTCTATGCACCTTTTGTGTGGCTGGTGGCCGTGGAGGCGGAAGAGGGCATCAGATCCCCCAAATCTGGAGTTATAGATGATTGTGAGCTGCCATGTAGGTGCTGGGCATCGAACTCCTGGTCTTCTAGAAGAGCAGCCAGCGCTCTTAACTGCTGAGTCCTCCCTCCAGCCTCTTATATGGAGTTAGGTAATAATAGCACAAGTTCTTACAACTGGATGGGACTGATGGCACTCTAGAGCGACCATCTTGTTTTGGAGTAAGGAGATAGTGAGATTGTGCCAGCCTGGGGTCTGTCCAGACCCTGGCATAAACACAGGCTACCTCTGTCCCTGTGTGTAGTGTAGTGTAGTGCTACCCTCTACAAGTTGTTTTCACGGGGAAAAGCAAGCACACCCCATCAGCTGGTGGCAGTCGGAGCTCAGTGGCATCGTTCACTCACCATGGCATTGGCCCCATTTGCCGCTCAGTGTTCTGGTCAGTTTTTGACAGAACCTGGAGTCACCTAAAGAGGGAGTATCAGTGGAAGGATTGCTCGGATTGGAGACTGGCCTGTGGTCCTGTCTGAGGGGGATTGTCTTCGGTGGTTAACTGATGTGGGAGGGTCCAGCCCACTGTAGGTGGTTCCATTGCCCAGGCAGATGGTCCTGGACTGTGTAAGAAAGCTGGCTAAGCATGGTCCCAAGAGAAAGCTAGGGAGCAGCATTGCTCCATGATTTCTGCCTGAAAACTGAATGGAAATGTGTCACCAACAGGTAGAAATGTGATTGGTCACCTGGAGCTTGTTAAAATGGGCTCCCAGCCCTACCCTGGACTGTTGACTTTGTCTCTGTCCATCCCCCAAATGGCAGAAAACCAGGTGTAATGAATGAGACACACCTGGAATCCCAGAACTCAGGAGGTAAAAGCAAGAGGATCGGAAGTTCAAAGTCATCCTCAGCTACATCTGGAGTTCACTGCCAGCCCGGGGTACATAAGACCCTGTCTCAGAAGAAAAGAAACTCTTGGAAATCCTTGTAGGATTAGCACATAGCAGAAACACTGCCTATGTCTTGGTGCAGCGTCACTTGCAGGGACTCAAGATCCTTACTGCCATCTAGTGGCCATGCTCAGACTTGGCCTTCACCTACCCTAGAGTTTATTGGGAACCTGCTGTGGCAGGCATCCCTCTAGTCGGAGGTGATCAAACTCTTGCCAGGTCCACCTTTCACAGACCTCCCTGTTTCGGCAGTGCAACCATCCCTTGGGGATAGAATGTGTCCATCACTGCCCCCTCCCCCCACACACACACGTAGACAATGTTGAGTCCACACATAGTGTCCCTTCTCTTATTTCCAGGGATCAGCGGTGGGCCACTGGGAAACCACTACAGGCTGAAGCAGTTTCACTTCCACTGGGGAGCAGCGAATGAGTGGGGCTCGGAGCACAGGGTGGATGGTCACGCATACCCGGCTGAGGTTCGTAAACAACGCCATGAGACAGCACACATAGGGGTGCTTCTGTGTCAGGCCTACCACAGGGTGACTGGCACCGCCCCCCAACACCCCCCCCCCCCACACACACACCAAGTTCCCAGACCCAAAGGATTTCCAGGGACCTGAGGCTTCCCGTGTGCCACTTAGAACAATAGAGCAGCCCTGACCCACTTAACCGTCGCCGCCTTGTCCTGGGGCGGAGGGCGGGTGCTATAGATGCTCTGCTGCCAGAGGAGCTAGAGGTTCTGAGAAGTCCTGTAGCTCACTGAAATTCACAGCCCTCGGCTGTGGGCTCGCTGCACTTAAGGACCCGTGGCCTCATGTCCTCCTAGAATGAAAACCTCCACAGCAGGGTCTCCTTTTTCCTTCCTCTTCTTCCTCCTCCTCCTCCCCTTTCTCCTCCTCCCCTTATCCCTCCACCTCCTTCTTCTCCTGCTCTTCCTCCTCTGCAGAGCTGGGGAAGAAACCCATCCTTGAGCCATACCCCCAGCCAGAGAGCATCTCCTCAAAGGCCATTTCTTCAACATCCCAGAGTGGGGTCACCACAGAAAATTAAGCAAAAGAGCCTTGGGCATTGGCTCTGAAGTTGTGGCAGGCAGCAGGCAGTGCCTGGAAACCTCCCAACATTATAATACGGAAAATTCCCAACGCACAGAAAAATGGAGAGACTCATGTGATCATAAACCATGAGGTTTCTCTCTGGAATGGCCGATTTGCCATATTCACATCGTCAGTCCCCCATCTACCCGCTCCTCTCTAGGTGCTGCCCCTGCCGCCCCCTCATCTCTGTCCCCTCCTCCTCCCACCCCCCTGCCTTCTTCCACCAGCCTGGGAATACACTCAACATTTTGGCTTTTATTTTACCATCTTCTGGTTGTAGAAGTGAACCAGAGTCTAGCCAAAGCCACAGATGCAGCCCAGTTCTTGTTCATTCTGAACTGGCAGACATTGCCACTAGAGGGCGCACGGTGTCTCTCCTCATCCAGTAGCAATCCTTCTTCACAGTTCTCTAGCTGGGGCCTTGATTTTTGTGCACAGATGTGTCTATTGAAGGCCCCTACAGTTGAAATGTAGCTAATTAAGATGAGGGATCTTGGGCCCTACAGACACTCCCTGTGACCACGTGGAGGTGAGAAAGGAGGAAGGAAGGCCGGCCTGGTACAAATGGACACCGGGGTCTACGTACTAAGACCCTAACCAAGAGGTCTGATGGAAATGAGGGCTCCATCTCTGAGACCTGGAGCTGCATTCTAGGAGGTCCTAAGTAGACTGGGCAAGTCTACCCTGCTGGTCCTAGATCCCAGATCCCAGACCAGGAGCATCTATGCTTCCTGGGAGTGAGGACCCAGAGCTCCAATGGAATCCTGGATGGCAACAGGCAGAGCTTGCTGACCATGATGCCAAGGGCTTGCTGGTCCTTGGCCTGAGGACTCATGGTTGGGCACAGTTACAAATGCTTCTACCACAGCCCTGTGCTTAGGGGACATAGATGCCCCTGCTGTATCCAAGGGGCTCTAGAATGCCTTCTGATAAAGCTATCATATCTGTATGGAACCCACACACATTTTTCTGATACCTCTGTCCTCATCTCCAGGTCACTAGCACGCTGTGAGTGCCACATGCTGTTGCTATTTGTTTCATTTCAGGAAAATCAAGAACACCACAGACAGCATTTTTATTCCAAATAGTTTGTCTGTCTTTAGTCAATGGATGTAGAAGCGGTGGGTGAGAAGGGACAACTGGACACATACCCAGACTCCCCTAGGTGAAGCTACAGCCTTATCACTACAGTTCCCAGCCAGGGCCCATGATTACCAGATGACAGGGCTACCTCCCTCCTCCCTCACCCCCTCTTCTTCGTCCATTCCCATCATCTTGCAAATACATCAATCACCCAGTGAGGTCCATAATCGCACATCGAGGAAATGGAAGAATTACAAGGCAGAGGTCAAGGTCAGGTGCCAGATGTGTATTGAGGACTTACCTCTCTGAGAAATTGTTCTGATGACTCTTGTTCCAAGTGACTCATAGGTACAGATGATCAGACTACTCACTTCTGTCTTGCCAACCCAAAACGCTTGTGATGGCTACTGATAACTGTTGAGTTGACAGATAGGGGATTGTTTTTATTATGCTCATTGATATGAGAAGACCTCTGTCTTCATTACTTTTCTGTTGCTGTATAAAGCACCATGACCACCAGGCAGTGGTGGTGGCACACACCTTTAATCCCAGTATTCTAGAGGTAGAAGCAGGCAGATCTCTGAATTCAAGGCCAACCCAGTCTACAGAGCAAGTTCTAAGACAGCCAGGGCTAAACAGAGAAATCTTGTCTCAAAAAACAAAACAAAACAAAACAAAAACAAAAACAAACAAACAAAAAAAAACAATAACATACAAAACAAAACAAAACCCCACCATGACCAAGGCAATTATAAAAGGAAGGGTTTATTTGGGCTATGGTTACAGAAGGGTACGTCCATCATGATAGCAAGAGGCAGGCATGGCCACAGGATCTGAAACCGAGAGCACACATCTTTTTTTTTTTTTTAATTAACTTATTTATTTATTTATTTAATGCCGAATGCTGTTTATTGAAGGAGGGAAGAGGTCTTAAATACAGGCTTACGGCACAATGGGAGAACCCCAGAGGGCAGAAGTTTGATACCGAAGTTTTAATATCTTGCATCTAAACTGTTAATGCCCATTATGCAGGATACTCAGACAAGGAACTTCCCTTAAGCATTTAGGAGGGTGGAACCCGGCAGGGAGGCTATCAAGGTCAAGGTCAGCAAGCAGGGCAACAGTTACCCAAAATGGGGCCAGGACCCTACAGGTCCCCCTTTTACTAAAAAATGACAAGAGCGCACATCTTTAAACATGAGCATGAAGCAGCAAGAGCAAATTGGAAACGTCTTTCAACTCTTACAGTCCTCCTCCAATGCCACACCTCCTCCAACAAGGCCACTCTCTCTCTTTTTTATTTTCTTTTTTTCTTTATTAAGATATTTTCTACTCACTCCACATACCATCCACAGATCCCCCCTCCTCCCTCCCCCATCCCCTCATCCCTCTTTCCCGAGCCACCCCGCATCCCCACATCCCCCAAATCGAGGTCTCCCATGCGGAGTCAGCAGAGCCCAGCACACTGAACCTAGGCAGGTCCAAGCTCCTTCCCACTACCCAAAGGCTGTGCAAGGTGTCAGGCCGCAGGCACCGGATTCCCAGAAGCCTGCCCATAGACCAGGGACAGATCTCGATCCCCCTGCCTGGGTGCCCCCCAAACAGTTCGAGTCAAACAACTGTCTTCCACATGCAGAGAAGGCCACTCTCTTAAACCTCCCCAAATATCGCCACCCACTGGGGATCAAGTGTTCAAATACATAGCCGGTGGGGGACATTCTCATTCAAACCACCACAACTCTTATGGAGTGTGGATGGGAACATGCCCCGGGGGCTGGTCTGGACTGTGTAAGTGGAGAAGAGGTGATACAATGATAAAACTGCATTCACTGATCCTCGCTTCTGATTGTGGACCTGATGTGGCCAGTTGCCTCAAGCTCCCCCGCCTTAACTAATTCTCCACCACGGTGGATAGTAACCTTGACTCATGAACTGAAATAAACTCTTTCTCCTTTCGGTTGCTTTTGTTGGGGTGTTGTTTCACAGCCAGAGGAAGAGAAACTGCAGCAACGGTCTCCCCCCTGCTCCCTCCGGTACTGCGAAGCTCTTGCCGCCTGTGTCTGGGGAGCTCCGAGGGAGGACTCTGGCCACCAGCACTTTGTGTACTGATAGGACACGGACGTGACCCAAGGGTGTGCTGGACAGAGTGGCGTGACTGCTGTTTCTGCTGCGTTAGGACGATTAACATTCTTTGTCCACTCTGTTTCAGCTCCATTTGGTTCACTGGAATTCCACGAAATATGAAAATTACAAGGAAGCCACCGTGGGGGCGAATGGGCTGGCGGTGATCGGAGTGTTCCTGAAGGTAACGTCTGCTGGCCATGGCTCTCCCACTGAGAATGGCTGGGTTTGGTCATCAGAATGGCCTTCTGTAGGGAGGGACATGGAAGGCTTCTGTGACAACCCCACCCCCACCGCCCCTGTCCCAAAGTAACAGCCTAGATAGTAAGCCACCGAAGAGAACTCTTAAAAAGTGTGATGGAGATGCTGGAGAGTAGCTCTCCACAGTTGATGGCTCCTGGAAGAGGTGTGGGAGGGAAGGATACTTAAGGGCAGGCCACTGAGAATTTGATCATGCTCCAGTGAGTATATAGATAGCACAAAATGGACATCATTATTATCATCATCATCATCATTATTATACTTCTTTGCGGGGAGGTCACAAGTGGGGACAGACATGGAAGGACTGGGAAGGGATTGTGTTCAGGGTGCATGATGTGAAACTCCCAGAGAACCAATAAAAATGTTATGTGGGAAAAAAAACAAACAAACAACAAAGAATGGCCTTTTGCACGCTGTCACCTGGAAGCAAGGTGCATTTTTACTGTCTGCTGCCTCCCAGGCTAACACTCACACGTCTGTGCTGTGCAGCTGGGGGCCCGGCATGAGGCTTTGCAGAGGCTGGTGGATGTCTTGCCAGAAGTGAAACACAAGGTAAGAAGCATAAAAATCGGAAAAGTGGGCACCCAAGTTGCCAGAGCAACAACTTACCGGGGAAATGCCAAAGAGTCTGGCAGAGGGCGTGAGGCGCAGGCTCTAGAAAGAGACAGGAAAGGCCAGTCCTCAGGCTCTTGTCACGGGCTGACTTCGGTTTTCCCTGTAAGCATATGCCTATAATTCTAGCACTGGCGAAGGCAAGAGCATTACCAAAAGTTCAAAGCTAGCCTCCACTACAAAATGAGTTCCAGGCTAGCCTTGGTCACAGAAAACAAGAAAGAAGACTCAGATGTAGCTCAGTAGGTAGAGAGCTCGCTGAGCATGCATGGAACCCTGGATTCAATCCCCAGCACCGACATAAACTGGGTATGGCAAGAAACAGCTGCAATATTGGGAGGTGGAAGCAGGAAGATCAGAAGTTCAAGGTCACCCTTGAAATACTGTCTCAGGAGAAGGAGTGATGTGCTCTCTGCATATTCCTGCCCAATTCCCCCTCAGTGAGACGAGGGTGCTGAACTCCGTGGGATTCCCCAAGACCAGCCACCCAGGTCATCCCAGCAGCCTGTGGAAGAGTTTGATCTCGTATTTGTTCTTGTTTTGCTCAGGCATGATGTCCAGTAGTGATAACGTCTGTTAAAACAGACCAAAGTGTCTACCTGCTGTGTGTGCAAACACAGGCCAGTGTACCACCAGCACACACTTGAGAAAGAGTTTAACTGAGACCACGAACAGAGCAGACCCGTGGAGAGGGAGGCAGCCTGGGCAGTGCCCAGACTGGTGGCAGGGTCCCAGGTCACTCTGAAGGTGGCTGGGCATTCTTTGTATACTTTGGTTTGTTAGCCTGTCTCGAGAAAATGGCAGAGTAATGGGGTGTCACTTTTCTTTAAGACCCAGAAGGGACTTTGATGGAAAAATGGAAATTCCAAAGAGATGGGTTTATTTATTCAGCACCACAACAAAGAATTCTGAGGCAAAAGGAAGCAAGGTGGCCATTAGACATGGGGACATGGGGACATGGGGACAGAGGAGGCTTCCACCTGTCTTAACAATGGTGAGAGCTGCCCTGCAGGGAAGCGTGGCCACGCCTTCCTCAAAGCTCACAGGAGTGTTTGATCTGCTCCTTGCCTCCTCTTGATGTTGAGGTCCAGATGCCCCTTGGGATGGAGACAGATCCCCTACCCCCACTGTTCTGTCCACCCGTTCAGGAACACCTCAAGGCCGAGGCACTGGGCGCCCAGCTCCTCGCCCTCTTCCTTGCTGGCCTACAGCCAGAACAAAGCTGGAAGGCGGGATGTTTTCCCAGCTGGCCTTTGCCTCCCACAAGGGGTGGGAGAGAAAGAAGCTGGCTGGGAGTGTTGTTTACTCAGGGGTCTGTTTTCCTTCCTTGGAAGGTTCTGGAGCTACTTTTCCCCACAGGCTGACGACAGGGAAGGCACGGGGTCTGCGACTCAGTTCTGACCCAAATCACGCCAGTCCCCTGAAAATAACCCACTGACTCTAGGACATATAGGGACTTTAAAATATGCCCAGCCATGGAGAGCTCCTCAGGCTAAGGAGTAGGAGACACTTGAGGACCCCTTGTCCGTGGCTCTCTGTCTGCAAGCTTAGGACTTCTAGAGGTTTGGGGTGTGTGCTGGAGATCCTCCGTCAAGATGTCCTGGGTCCAAAGCCCTTGATCTGCCAGGAAACCGTGTGGCTTTGAGCAAGGGACTCAATCTCTCAGAACCCAATTTCCCTATTTATGAAATTTGGATGTTGAGAGTGGATGCATGAGGGCCTTGTTATCCTGATTGAAGTGAGGCAGGCACAGTGTCAGTCTTTAGCAAACTGGTTGGGTCCAGGCCTCAGCTGTGGCGTGAATGAAGAAGAGTACAGACCACTCACACAGGCTCATCCACTATTGCGATGGGGTGGGTGGGCGGGGCTGTGGCACATGATAGCATGTCTCAAGCAGCATCGCTGAACTCAGACCTGTCTATAATGGACTCTGAGAGTGCTCCTACCTTCAGGAGCCTGTCAGACTTTAAAACGCTTGAAGCATGGTGACTCTGGGGAGGATGGGAGGGGGAGGGAGGAGGTGAGGGTCAGGTGGCCTTGGGCTCAAATCCCAGCTCTGTTGCTCATCTGCTCAGTAGGTCCATCCCTGCAGCTCTGGACTATTCCCTGTGGTTCCATAGCCAAGAATACAATGTCCTGCTCAGGTTAGATGAGCTGGCTGGGGTTTGGGGTCTCCCTGGACCCTAGAGCTAGGGACTTACTTATCAGCAGGCCCCGGTACCCTGCATAGTACTCAATATTTCTGTCCAAGGGTCTTGTTTGGGTTCATTTACTCTGTCTTCTCTGTCTCTTGCCCTCACCAATGTGGAGGTCGCTGTCCTGGGCCTGCTTGCTTGAGGACCCTGGGGACCCCTAGGCTGTGGAGGCTCATGGGAAAGAGGGATCTCAGTCTCTGCACCCTGGAGTGGTGATATCCTGATATGATGAACAACATCCAGGCAAGGAGCAGGAGGCATTCCTGCTGCCGAGGTGGATTTTTCTAGGGATCTCCAGTCCCAGGCTGAGGCGAGGTGTCCGTCTGGGCAGGCTTCCCGCCTCTGTCACCTCTTCACGTTGATACTGACTTTGTGTGTACGCATGTGTATGTGGAGGCCTTGGGTGTTGCTCCTTAGGTGCCACCCACCTTAGTTTTGAAGGCAGAGTCTCTGAGCGTCCTTGAGCTCACAGAGCAGGTGAGGCTGGCTGGCCGGACATCGAGTCCCGGGAAGATGCCCCGGTGCTGGCATCGAGTGTGCATACAACATCCTGCCCAACTTATTTGCGTATGTTCTGAGACTCGAACTCAGGGCCTCATGTTGCAACGCAAGTACTATCCTGACTGACTGACTGAGCAGCCATCTCTCCGGCCCTCTTTGCTTTTGTATCTCATTCACTAATTGTGACCACACCACATTCCTGATGTTCCTCAGGTCCATCAGGCTGCTTCTGCCTCAGGACTTTTGCAACAGTGTACGCATGCCACAGACTCTTCGTACGTGTCTTTCCTCAGATGTCACCCCATTAGGCCTCTGGGACCACGCCTTTCAAAACACCCGCTCCCCTAATTTGTTCTTTTTCTCCATCACGAAGTCCCCAGTGTGAAGTGCTGATGCTCTTCTTACTCTGTGTGGGCTCCATAAAAGGGAGGAGTTCCTTCCACTTTTCTGTGTCTGTATCCTTGACACCTGAGGCAAAGTTAGGCTCTCTGTTGCCTCAGACAAACACTTGTAAATGAATGCACGCACGCATGAACGAGCAAAGCGACAGTGACATCCCATGGGAGCTCAGAAAGGCTTTATGAAACCCAGGAAGCAAGCAAACATGAACTGTGAACACGGCCTGAGGCGGAGGCCAGGCTGACTCCAGCTGTCTTAAGAGGAGGGCAGAGAGCTTGAGCCATATGTCAGGAGCAGCTGTGTGGGGGCCCTTGGTCCCACCTGCCCCTGTGAGAGAGAAGAACATGAGGACTGGGGTGGGGGAGGGTCCCGCAGCATGTATAGTTTTAAAGTCAAGCTGCTTCAGAGAGACAAACAGTTGTTTCAAAACTGTAAGATTTGCCAGTGCAGCCACGGTTGAAAACACATGTTTTGGGGTCCTTAAATTAAAAAAAAAAAAAAAATGTCCATCTGATCCAGCAATCTTATGTATGGGTATGGACCCTGAGAACTGAAAGTTGCCCTGAAGCAAACAGCACCCACCCCATCCCATTCCGGAAGTTCTATTTAAGATAACCAGAAGGGGGACGCAGGCCAAGTGCCCAACCTGGGTGAATGCAAATGAAACACAGCCTAGCCACGTGGTGGATGCTTGGCCAAAACACAGAAGGACACAGAGAACGTCCCGGCTCCCATCGGTAATCTCAGCACTCAGGAGGTGGAGGCAGGAGGATCAGGAGTTCAGAATTATCCTTGTGTGGCCTAGAGATTTTGAGGACACCCTGGGCTACAAAAGAACCTGGTTTTAACCCCAGCACTCAGATTGGAGGCAGAGGCAAGTGGATCTCTGAGTTCAAGGCCAGCCTGATCCACATAGTGAGTTTCAGGACAACCAGGACTACATAGAGAAACCCTGTCTCAAAAAAAAAACCAACAAAACAAACAAAACAAAACAAAAAAACAAACCACAAAACAAAAACATAACAAACAAACAAAACAGAAGGGAAAAGAAGGAAGGAAGGAAGAACGGCTGTTCTAACACTTGCTGTGCCATGGGAGGACCCCGAGGACACAATGCTCGCTGAAATAAGCTCAGTTTGAAGACAACTGCAAAGCCAGTTATGCAAGTACAGGCCTTTCATCCCAGAACTCTGTGAGTTCGAGGCTATCCAGGGCTACATGAAGGAGACACATTGACTTCCATGGGTCTGCAGGTTCAGAGCCAGAAAGTAGACTGTGGTTTCCAGAGGTCAGGGAAGAATGGGAGTCAGTGTTTAATGAGGCAGAGAAAGTTCTGGAGATAAATGTGGGTGATGACAACATGATGTGAATGTCTTTAACACCCTCAAATTGCACACTTGAAAATGGCAAAAAAAAAATTATATAT